TTCTTATTCATTTATTTTGATTTTTAGATTCAATTGTTGATAGGTATGTATTTGTTGCCATTTTGTTCATATTTTTTATCTGTTTCTTTTTCTTCTTCCTCTTCTTAAAGAATACCCTTCAACATTTCATATAATACTGGTTTGGTGGTGATGAACTCCTTTAGCTTTTTCTTGTCTGTGAAGCTTTTTATCTGACCTTCAATTCTAAATGATAGCTTTTCTGGGTAGAGTAATCTTGGTTGTAGGTTCTTGTTATTCATCACTTTTAATATTTCTTGCCACTCTTCTGGCCTGCATAGTTTCTGTTGAGAAATCAGATGACATCCATATGGGCACTCTCTTGTAGGTAACTAACTGCTTTTTTTCTTGCTGCTTTTAAGATTCTCTCTTTGTCTTTAGCCCTTGGCATTTTAATTATGATGTGTCTTACTGTGGTCCTCTTTGGTTTTGGATATAGGTTTTCAATATCTTGCTCTCTCTTCTTCTGGCACCCTATAATTCGGATGTTGGTATGCTTGAAGTTGTCCCAGAGGCTCCTTACACTACCTTCATATTTTTGGATTCTTTTTTCTTTTTGCTCTTCTGGTTGGGTGTTTTTTGCTTCCTCATATTTCAAATCGTTGATTCGATTTTTAGAATCCTCTACTCTACTGTTGAATCCCTCTATGTTATTCTTTATTTCAGTCAGTGTATGCTTAATTTCTGACTGGTCCTTTTCCATTTTTTTTTGGAGGTTTCTAGAAGATTCTTGAGTAACCTTATAACCATGGTTTTGAACTCTATATCCAGTAGTTTGCTTTCTTCCATTTCTTTCATTTGTGACATGTTTCTTTGTCTCCACATTTTGTCTGCTTCTCCGTGTTTGTTTCTATGTATTGGGTAAAGCTGCTATGTCTCCTTGAGTTGGTAGAGTGGCCTTGTGTAGTAGGTGTCCTATAGGGCCCAGTGACTCAGCCTCCCCAATCACCTGAGGTGGACACTCTAGGTGTACCCCTTTGTGGGCTGTGAGCATGGTCTTGTAGTTGAGACTTGATTGCTGTTGGTGTCACTGGGGGGAATTGACCTCCAGGCCAATTGGCTGTGGGGACCAGCTGCAACTACAGTGGGAGAGTTGCTGTGCAAGAGACACCCCTATGGATCAGGACTTGCTTTGATGAGGCTTTGGTACTCACTGAATCTGCCCCTGAGGTGTCGCTTATGGATGTAGAGTTGTAATCTGGTATGATCTGACACTGACCACTGAGTATACTGGCTCTTGGGTCTCCAGGGAGGTGCAAAGTCAGCCACTGCCTGGGGCCACCCAGCAGGAGCTACAGAGAGATCTGCAGGTTCCTTCTCTTTGTATCAGGTTTGGAAGTGCCTAGATGAGGCCCAGCTGTGAAGCAAGGTAGGCTGGTGCTGGTGCTGGGTCTTGGGCCTTTTATTGATACAATTGGGGCTCCCTGACCCAGCTGCAACTTGTTTTGAGAGATTTTAGCCTGAGCAGGAGAGGCCATTTATATGCAAAAGCTGATGCTCACAGCTTGGGTGGGGTTATAAATTGGTTGGGGTGGGGTCTCTGAGAATCACCAGGGCGGAGCAAACAGAAATGGCTGCCAGTCAGCTCTACAACCAGGGAGGTCCCAGCATAGGAACAATGATCCCTTTGAGCACCTCTGTCTGGGAGTAAGCTGCCCCCCAGTTCCTGCCCAGATGCCAGGCAATCCAGTTCCTCCTGGTATGTGTCTGTGTCCCCCAAAGCCTCACCCTGGTGCCCACCTTTTAAGAGGAACAGCTGGGTCTCCAGCAGCCTCTGTGTCACTGAGCCCCAATCCACACTGGTTTTTACAGCCCGTAGTTCTTACTGCCTGTAGGGACTTCTTTTCTCAGCTCTGGGACCCTGGGCTGGGGGTCTGATGTGGGGCTGGGCCCCCTTGCTCCTCCAGCCTCAGAGACGATCTTCCTCCTGATTAAAAAAGCAGCACACGTGGGTGCCGGACCAGCCTGTTCCGCATCCCCACACCTCCTACCGGTCTCAGTGTGCTTTCTTCTTGCCTTCTCTAGTTGTAGGACTTCCATTCAGCCAGCTTTCCAGTGGTTCTGGATGATGGTTGTTCTGTATTTTAGTTGTAATTTTGATGTGGTTGTGGGAGGCGGTGAGTACAGGCGTTTACCTACACCGCGATCTTCCTTGTCTGTCAAAGTACAGTGGGGCCTTGACTTACGAGTGTCCCGACTAACGAGTTTTTTGAGATACCAGCTGTCTCTCGGCCGATTTTTTGCATTGAGTTGATAGAATAATTTGAGTTAACGAGCTCCTTAACGAGCTCGGTCTCAACGAATTAAACTCGTAAGTCAAGGCCCCACTGTATGTGACTTTTAAGGGCCCTTCCAGAGTCTAAGCTTCTGCAGGTCAGACTCGGTGTTAGACTTGAACTGCATCCGAGGGAAGGCCAAGAGTTCTGCTCAAACCGTTCACCTCCCTGGCTGGGAGGTGCTCACAGAAAGGGGATGGTCAGGCAAGAGCTGCCCTCCCCTCCAAGGTCACAGCAGAGGTGAGCCAAGAATAGAAGCGAGGCCTCGGACAGAGGCCCTGCCGAGCCTGGTGGGTGGAGGAGGGGGAGTGACTCCAGTTCCCCAAGTGCTGCTCCTCTGGGCCTGGCACGCAGGGTGGACATGCAGCTCTGAAGGTGATGCCAGGGGGTGGGGGGCTCATGGGCTGACCCGTGAGATTCATACATCAGTGCTGACCGCCCCTTCCTGAGAGGCTCTGGATTTCCTGGTGCCAGGGTCTGGGAAGCAACCCCTGGGCCTTCCATACTCCTCCTGGGTCTGTTGCTGCAGGCAGGCAGGTACTGGCTAAGGTTTCCTCCAAACACGCGTCTCTCCCCCTCCACACTCTACCAGCGGTTCTCAACCTGTGGGTCGCAAACAATGAAAATACATCCTGCATATCAGATATTTACACTACGATTCATAACAGTAGCAAAATTACAGTTATGAAGTAGCAACGAAAATAATTTTATGGTTGGGGGTCACCACAACATGAGGAACTCTATTAAAGGGTCGCGGCATTAGGAAGGTTGAGAACCACTGCCGGACTGTCCCTGGAGGCTGGAAGCCCAAGCTTCTGTCAGTCCTAAAACAAAAGCTAGGAAGCTGGGGTCTTTTTTTCTCCCCAATTTGGTCTTTTTTTTCTTGAGGGTTTACCTGAGTCCTTGCAGCACATGCCTTAGGAATCCAGCTGTGGGCAGGGAATCCAGCTGCTGGCAGCCGGTGGGCATCTGGTTCTGTAACCGGACAATCAAGGGGTCTGGGCTGCCTGTCACTACTTGAGCCAATTAAGCAGAGACAGGGTTGAATCATATATGAGCGTTTATTCCAGTACTGCCGGCAGCATGGGAGAGCAGCAGGTCATCCACAAAAATCTGCTCTGTAGCCACCATAAGCCAGCTGCTTATATTGGGTAAAAGGACAAAGATTACAGGCATGGGAAAGTAGGCACGGGAGAATCATGCAGGCTGCGGGTGGGGGAGGTGGCAGAGGCGGGCACCTCTCCCCGGGACCAGATTACAGGCAATAGGGGCTGGGGTTGTAAAGAACAGGTGCCTCCAGGACTCGACTGTTTCAGCCACGAAGTTGTAAATCTTTCCATAGCAACGGGCAGTTCTTGGGACAGGAGGATGGACTGCATTCCGATGTTAGCTCCCCTGTCCCAGGGCATATAACTCCCAGCCAGGTTAGAATGTGCTTTCTCTAGTCAGAACAGAACCATCATGGTTAACAGAGCATGATTAATATTTCTTACTTTATTTCTTATAACTAATAGCTAGTCCCCAATATTACATTTCTGCCCCTAACAGTTCAAGCCCTGTTTTCAGATGAGGAGCTGTGGTCGGAGGAGCTGAGAGACCGGGGCAGGTCTTCATGGCTCCTTCCCCCACACCTCGTTTGCTGCCTGTCTCACCTTCTCCAAATAAAGCCTGGCGACCCCACCTCTCACACACCCAACTTCTTCCTCACAAACTCCCCCAGAGCCCAGCCACCAGGCAGGGAGGGCTCGCTGCCCCTGTGCAGCCTGCAGCCCAATCTCCTTCCCCTTCGGCCGCAGTCCCTCAAGAAGTCCGAGCACTTCCTTGCTCAGCTGCTAAGTGGCAATGAGGGGAGCAGGGAGCCAGAAAAAAATGCTCTTTTTAGCTGCTTTGCCTCCTGCAGAAGCGAACTGCCAGAATCGTCCACTGGGAACATGAGGCTGGCAGGGTGACGACGTGGGGGAAAGGGACCCTTCCTGCAGTGGGAGTCTGTGGGGCTGAGGAAGAGGAAGGAATCCATGAAATGTGCATACGGTTGAGGCTCCTAAGAGATGCCCTTAGGAGATGGGTAGTGAAGGGGCTAGGGTGGCTATTTTTTATTATTATCCAACAAGTAGCTCCTAGCAGCCAGGCACTGAACTGGGTGCTAAGGATACAAAGATAAAAGTTCAGAGGCCGCTTTGTGTGTGGACTTGGTGTAGTAAGCGCTGGGATTTAGGTGCTCATGGAGGTTTGGGGGAGGGGCATGTGGAGCCGACCCAGTGTGAAGGATGACTGGTGCCTCAAAGCGGCTTCCCACCCCCGCTGCACATTAGAGCCACCTGGGAGCTTTTAAAACCCAAACCCGGGCCACACCCCTGAGCAAGTAGATCAGAATCTCTGGGGCTGGAACCCAGGCATCAATGGTGGACACTCCAAAGTGAGGCCAAGTGGGGAATGCGAGTTCATGGTCATTTATGTCTTAGGTTTGCAGGGGAATGGGATGGCTAACTGGGTGACTGGTTGGTTGGTTGGTTGGTTGGTTTTTAATATTGAGCCTTCTTATTCACTCTTTCTAGAATCCTTGAGAATTACCTTTCCAATTTGGGTGTGGGTGGGAACAGGAAGGAGGGAGGAGGGGAGGAAGGAGGGGGGGGGAGAGGAGGAATTGGGCTGTGGCATCTAAGCTCTTAGCAACATTGTCATGAACCACACCTCCCTTACTGCCAGGACCTCCTGCAGAATTCTCCCAATTCCATGTCCGGAGTCTCCAATAACCCCCAGGGGATTGTGGTCCCAGCCTCAGCGCTCCAGCAGAGCAGCATCGCCATGACAACTGTCAACTCACAAGTGGTGTCAGGTTGGTGCAGGGGACCGTGGGGACACCCCTGGGAAGAGAAAAGGTGGCCCCAAGGCGACTGCAGGGGTGAGGGGCAGGGCATTGCACAAGTGCCCCTGGAAATGGGAGAGGGGCTCCCCGCTGAGTTTCTTAGCTAGAGTTCTGTAACGTATAGATGGTTAGCACCAAGGCTTCATTGTATGGTTTGGAACAAATTTGGGTCAAAGTCTCAAGAGTCCCTCAAAGACCAAGCAAGGCTATCGTCCTTTCCCCAACACGTGTCCCATCCTGCCCCTTTCCACAGGGGCTGAGTACCTCCAGAGCAGAAAGTGCCCCCATGACAGGGGACACAAAAACTGGTTGTCTCCTCAGGTGGAGCCTTATACCAGCCAGTTACCATGGTAACCTCCCAGGGTCAGGTGGTCACCCAAGCAATCCCCCAGGGAGCCATCCAGATCCAGAACACACAGGTGAGTGTGTGTCCCAGTGTGTGCACGTTTGCATGGGTGTCGGGGAGGGCAACCAAGGTCACTTACCATCTGGTAGGCACCTCACACAGGTTACTCATTTACTCCCCATTATTCTCCTAAGAGGTAACATCACCCCCACCTTCCAGTTAAGAAGCTGGGTGCTGGAGAGGTTTTATCAACTCCTGGGATTTTGCTGCCTCCCCGTTGCATCAAAGGCTCCTGTTTCTGGTCTCCACTTGGAGCCACCCTGGAGCTCAGTGAGCAGAGGGGCCCGGGGAGACCTCTCTGAGCCTCAGAGTTCTTATCCACCCAGCAAGTACACACAGTCCTACAACCTACAGGCTGCTGTCAGGGCTCACCATGGTAACAGACAGGAAGTCACTTGGCAAACTGTAAACTCCTCCAGAAAGGCTAACTACTGGATGGTTTATGGTTTCCTCTGTCTCTTCTCTCCCCACTTCGCCACATCCCCTCTCCCTCCTTCTCCATTCTGTGAGGTGAAGGGAAAGGTGACCTCCCAGGGCCCTAGAGTGAATTGGGAAGGGGGCTGGCAGCAAGAACCTGCCATCATCACCATGGCAACAGGTCCCTAGCTGCCAGTCTGCTGATGCTGACTTTTTCTCCACGTGCCCTGAAGGTTAACCTTGACCTTACTTCCCTCCTGGACAATGAGGATAAGAAGAAGAAGTCCAAGAACAAGCGAGGAGTCTTGCCCAAGCACGCCACCAATATCATGCGTTCTTGGCTCTTCCTGAGTGTGTGTGTGCACTGACGGGTGTGTGGGTGCAGCGGCACCCCTAGGTCCACAGAGGGCGTGGCCTCAGAGAGAGGCTCTCTGATTGGATATCATCTTCTTACCCAGGTCAGAGGGAGGCTCCCGCGGGAACTCAAGCTGGGAGACTATCCCTAGAGCTTGCTGCTGCTGCCTCAGACAAAGGGCGACATCAGAGGGTGTGGGACAGACATATTCTGACTTAAGTACTGGGGGTGTTCGGAACTGTTTCGTGAACAGAGTGAGATTCTGTGGGGCCGGGGCTGAGCTTCCTGGTCCAGAGCCCTCCTCCCAGGCAGCACGCTCACTCTGCCCTTCTCTTAAGGGGCAAATGTTCATTCTCTGCTCTTCTGGGTCCCAGGATCCTCACTGCCCGCCAGGGAAGCTGAGGTGTGTGTCCCCCTCCTGCTCGGAGCCCCAGCTGAGGCACAGTGCAGGGGGGCTGTGGTTGAGCCCATGGGCTCTGGAGGGGTACAGGCTGAAGTCCCGGCTTCCTCGCGTGTCCAGCTCAGCTCTGTGATACAGAGCAAAGGCTTTCATAAGCCTCATGGCCACTTTCGTGAAATGGAGACAGAGCCTTGGGTTTAACTGTGTGTTTGTAAAGTGCCCACTGTGTGCACCGAGGTGGAGCTGTGTGCTTGCAGGGCTCGTTGTAATAGTGGCTTCGGTTGACTGTCAGGAATTACTTCAATGACTTTAGCCCCTAACGCCATCCCAGAGCTGTCGATACAAAGACCAGTGACTGTCTGGGCTGAGTGTGAGAGAGTATGTGTCCGTGCGTGTGCACGTGTGCGTGCTTGTGTGTGTGTGGGGGGGGGGGGGGTCCAGGGTGCAGAGGTGGAGTCTGTGAACATGGATGGGCTCCCAGCAGTCTGGAAGTGTGGCCTGCCAGGACATAGACACACAGATACAGGACAAACAGCAAAGTTGGGACTAGAATTATAGACATAATTTGGCCTGTGAAGTGTGGGAAGAACCAGGAGTAAGGAAGCTCTTTCTCAATCAAATGGAATCAATCAATCCTTCCATCAAGGCACAGTTCTTCATGGAAATGGGAGGCCTCCAAAGCCATGAGCCTGGGCTTGGCTCTCAGATACGGGGCCCCAAGGACCTGCCTCAGAAGAGGGTGTGCATCCCAGGACCAAGAAAACTGCCCTGGGGGCTCACTGTGGGGCTGGGGCTTGGCATCTCCCCAGACATTCCCCCCCAAACCACCCCTCCCAGGGACTTGGGGTCCCCAGACATTTGCTGAGGGAATACAGTCTGAAAACACCCCCAGGGAACAAATAGAAACCTACTTTGGAGAGAAGGGGGTGGACAGCTAAGAATTAAGATGAGAAGAGGTTGGAACGACTCCCAGAACCAGGGCCAGGGCCAGCCCAGGCCTCCGGGGAGCAGCCCTGATGGGAGCTGGAGCTCACAGCGATGGTGGGGCGCAAGGTTGGCCTGCCCTGGTGTGGCGCTGCCAGAGGCTGTCTGCAGCCTTGTGCTGTAGGAGGTAGGACTGCAGGGCCCAGGGTGTGGTAGAAGCTCATGGGCCAAACCTGAGCTCAGATCTAGGCCTCGGCTCTTGCTGTCACCTGGCCACGCCCACCTCTCTGCAAATGATGATGAAGCAATGGAAGCATTGCTGAGCCCCTAGCCACTGTGGTGCTTAATGATGTCAGTTCCCCTTCTCTCCTTCCTCGCCTCCCATCCCCATGCATTTTTTTTATTGCTAAAAGTATTACAAAGGGTATTGCATATGTGTCCTTTTTTTTCCCTGCCCTTGACAATCCCCTGGCCTCTCCTACCCCCCAGTGTCTTATGTCCATTGGTTATGCTTATATGCATCCCATGCATTTTGAAGACTGATGTGAACATACCTACAAACTCACTTCTGAGGGGGAGAAAAGGCAGGTGTAGGAGGGAGAGGAGGCTGCAATGCAGATTTCCCCGCACAGAGCCCACGCATCCAGCCCAGCACCCCTCAGGGACTCCCATCACCCACTGTGGGCACCTCCTCAGCCACCTGCCACTCCCCGTGTGCAGCTCATGAGACTGGGGGGCCATCTTCTGAGTCCCTCCTGGCTGGGCCTCCCCTCTGACCTCAGTCCATGTCCTACCCTCTCGCCCCTCCCTGCCGAGCCTCCTCTTTAGCTCCCGGTCTTTTCTTTCCATTTCCACCAGATGGGATAGCAGAGGAAGGTCAAGGTGGAAAGGGAGAGGGTGCTCTGTGCACAAAGCAGAAGGGAGGAGGAACCAGGGGCGGGGGGGGGCTCCCCCAAAGGGACCTGGGACAGTGGGAGGACTTGTTGAAAAGCATGAGTAAGCTTTTTCTGCCCACACCCTGGACCCTCTCCAGCACAGAGTGCACACAAGCGCAGGTGCTATTAATAAAGCACTTAACCCTGGCGAAGTCCTCCCCCGTTAATGCCTCCTCGCAGCAGCCATCGGCAGAGGACAAGGGAGTGACCGCTGGGCCTTCTGGAGGAGGGGAGGAGTCCAGCCCGTGGGGACACGGCCGAACACAGCTGGCCTCACAGGCCGAGGCTGGCCCACGGATCAGCCTGGCCACCCAGACGCAGGTGGGCCCATGCCCCAACAGCAGCTCAGGAGAGAAGCTATGAGGTGCTTGGTAATGGGGCACAGTGGAGAGAAGACGGGCTATGCAGCCAGGCAGACAGGGTGTGAACTGAGGCTTTCCCACTAGCTGTGCAGTCGCTCTGGGTCTGTTTCTATGGCTATGAAAGTTAAATGAAATAACATACATTTACGTGCCATGCCTGACACAGTCATGCTTAAGAAATGAAAGTTCCTCTCAACTTGCTAGAACAGTGAACAAGTTTTTGAGACAAAGGCCCCACATTTTGCGAATCAATTAGAGGCAGGTGGCTGACCTGAGTCTGATCTGTAACACCTGCTGAGTTCACCATCCGGTGACCCTGCTGCTTGCCTGTCCTGTGTGGACGTGTGTGTCGGTCTCCGCGTCTTAGGTCTCTGACTGGGTAGTAAATGCTGCAGAACAGGGAGCGGACATTACTCCTCTTCTGCGGCCCGAAGGCGCTGACTCCCACGGTGTCCTGCTCCCAGAAGGGCTTGGGGAGATCTAGGTTCTACACAGTCAGCTTGTTCTTTCTTCTCCGTGTGCAGGGGGCACTGTGCGTTTGCAAGGGCGAGGATGTCCTGAAGCTGCCCCCAAGCACATCTGATCACTAAGTCTCTCTGTTTTCACTGTTGCTTTGGAGAACAACCCTGAGACTGGTTCTGGGGAGATGCAGCTCCGTTTTAGGAAAGAGGGTAGAAAAGGTGCAAAAAGGGCAAAAAATCAATATAGGGATGTTCTCATTCTAGTGCAGTGGGGACCACAAATATGTCGACTGGTTCACTGGAAATGCTGGTTAAAGAAAGAAACAACCACTGAAAAGACACATTTTTAGTTTAAAATATATACATTTCTTTATTTTAAAAGACATACATATATTTTATATGGAACCAAGATCTTTTTCTAATGAAAATTTGTCATTTTACTTGCATGAACCTCTCCTGTAATATAACATCTATAAATTCCATCTTTATTTAAAATAGAATAAGAATTTTGACATTTGGGAAGTAGTCTAGCTGCCGGATCTTCCTAGATTTTTATTGTGTATTCCAGTTTCTTAACATCTGCCTCGCTGCACCTTACTGTGTGGTGTTTCTAATCGAATTTGAGTCATGAGTCTTTCCAGAGCACTCCATTTAGGGTTTTTTGGGTGTGTGTGTGTATGTGTGTGTGTGGTGGTGTTTTTTCTTAGTAACAATAACTTTCTTTTTGCACTCATATTTCATTGATTTGCAGAATGGTTGATTACATTGCATGGTTACACTAGCACATGTATCGGGCACACACCAATTTCGTACAAACGCCGCTGACTTCCTGATAAGCAGATAAATTCGCCAATGAACATCCTGCAAAGTAGCCTGTGTATCTCGAGCATGCAGGGCAGCGTGGGCATCAGTTCTGCTGGTTTGCAGCAGACATGGGGGCCTCGTACAACCTGAAACGCGGCTAACGGAGATCGGGTCTCAGAACCTCTGTAGCACATGCTGGTTCCCTGCTGTCTTCTTTCTCGGGCAGAAGTCAGTTCTCTCTGACCTGTGTCGTCTTGTCGTGGCCACTGTTCCGTGGCATTAGCAGCTACAGAAATGTATTCCGATGATAGGATGCTCCTGGGATGGAGACTACGCCCTGGCCTTTTTGCTGTTAGGATGGTGTCATCCATTAGCTGCCGCGCTGCTGGTCCCTGAAGCACCCAGTGATATTTCTTGCTATTGCGTTTTGGCTGGAAGAGGCTAGACTCCTGCTGGAAGCAGTGGCTCCCTAGAAAGCCAGAGCGGGTGAGAGACCCGGCAGAGGGCCCGCTCTGGGCGGGTGGGGAGCTGCACTTCCTCCCCAGCTTCTGGCCTGTCCCCCACTCCAGATCCCAGCCTCCCCTGCCCCCAAGGTGATTCCGCTCATTTCCACCCAAAATATGGCTGTTTTCTGGATTGTAGCGCCCCCCCCCACCAGCACATGAGCAGCTTTACAGAATATTCTGTGTGGGAAGAGGGGGAAACCAGCCCAGCAGGCCCCCCACCCATAGAAGGAGCCGCCTGGCATTGACCACCGCAGTGCGCCAGGCCTCTGCTAGCATCTTCACGCATCATCTCAGGACGCCCCAGCCCCGCAGGAGGTGGGCACCGCCATTATCCACATTTTACAAATAACGAAACTAGTCTCAAGGAAGGCACCACATGCCCATGGCCCCGCAGGATTTGAACCCAGGTCTTTGTAACTCGAGGCTCTGCTTTCTTGCCCACTGAGCTGTACAGCTTCCACAGTGACCCAGGAACCCACGGCATCTCTGAGCTCCCAGCAGGTGAAGCAAGGGGACCCCAGCTTTCAGCTGAGGCACAGAGCCTGGTCTGGGAGAGGCGTGGGGTTTTATATGCCCCGCCCTAGTGCCAGATCCCGCGAGGCTGCCCTGTAG